TGTTTATTGATCCAGTGGTGAAGATTTTTGTTTTCCTTACACTGAGATGTAACACATACCTAAAGGTGGGGTCTGTGATCTTCATCAGTAAGTATTTAAAGTCCTCTTCACTTTCAGTATGCAAGGTTGTATCATCAACATATTGCCACTTGTTAATGAATCTTCCTCCAATCCTAATGGCACATTTTTGTTCATATACTCCATCTTCTCAGATTATTTGCTCAGCATACAGATTGAATAAGTATGGTAAAAGAATACAATCCTGGTGCGCACCTTCCCTAATTTTAGATAACTTATATAAAATATCACAATATAATTTTACTGAAAATAAAAAAGACACTTGATTAAATGGAAAATTATAAAACCAGATTGAGGAGGAATTATAAATCATGCAAAAATTTCATTTCTATAATTTTTTTCCAAACACTAGCTATGTCTGAAGTGTAACTACATTTTTTTTTTTTTTTTTGCCATTTTACAAAAATTTCTAGTGCTCATTGGGAAAACTATAAGCCTGATAATAAGTTGAAATGTGTTAATAAATGAGATATACAATGAAGAAGGTCTGTAACCATCTATTAAAACCATATATGTCTCTTGTAGTCATAGTCTGTAACTCCCACCAAACAACATTTCTTCCCTACTGGACCTGGGTAAAAGAAAGTGGCAGAAGATTCTGATAGGATGATGTGATTCAGCTGTGGTTGCTAACAGAATTAATTACAATTGTAAAAACTTGAAACTTTAGTATGGATTTAAAGTGAGACATCTCAGAAGCAGGAGCGGGTGGTCTCACTACCACCAAAAAAGAAGAGTAAGGAGTGGAGCTTGTCTTGTGGATCCTGAGATCCCTGCTTATTCAGCTTCCTTGACCCAGGGATGGAAAGCTGTGACACCAGAGGAGTGGCACAGAAGCAGTAGCAGCAGAACCAAGAAATAAAACACGAGACAAAACAGTGGACTTTCAAGCCCACAGAGCAAGCAGAGCTGAGTGACTCTGGGCAGAAAAGTTGCTTGTAGGGTAGAGTGTCTCCAGACACTTAAGTGGTGGACCTAAGTTTGTGGACCCATAGAGCAAGAGCTGAGTACATGCAGGCTGAGGCTTATGATGGAGTCATGTATCCTATGGGCATTAATTAACAGCTGACTGGAACGGCTGTGCCCTGAATATTTATGACCCTGAATTATAACCTGTTAACTTCCATAATAAACTCCCTAACTATTAAAAAAAAAAAAAAAAAGATCCAATCAAAACAGTGGAACAGTGGCTACCTAGTGAATCTGCTTTTTGTTGATGTTAGAAGCTGTCCAGTAGGTTTGTACTTATAGTGACCCTATGTATGACAGAAGAAAACACTGCCTTGTCCTTGCCATCCTCACGATAGTTGTTAAGTTTGAGCTCATTGTTGTTGTTTTCACTGTCATTCCTTCTCCTTGGATGTCTTCCTTTTTTTTAATTGACTCTTCACTTTGTCAAGTGATATCCTTATTGGACTATCCTTAATGGACTAGTCCTTCCTTATAACATGTCTAAAGTATAAGAGGCAAGTCTTATGATATGTAATGAAAAAAAAAAAAATAGCTTCACATTAGGATAGTTTTGTTTAATCAAGTTTTCTATGGTTTTGTAGCAATACTTTCTGACTTATGTATATGATACATTCTGTGTAAAACAAAGTAAGTAGCTTTTCTTCTTGTTATTTTTATTATATATTTCAGTTGCTTGTCCTTGGATTTGTCACATAACCTTTCTAAGATTCAGGCTATTAATGTGTACATTAAGACATATGACATCATTTTTCTCTCACTTCCCTACTATACTAATAGTCTGCAATTATTCAGTTGTTATAAACATGACCTTCACTTTTAAAAGGTACATCTTCCGTTTCAGAAGCAAACTAAAGGCTGTCCATAGCTGTACATCATGATTATACTGACATAATTTGAATGTGTATGCATGCGAATTAATAAAAATGAGGAGAATTAGAGCCTAGGAGACTTAAGGTATTCAAAAATGGAAAGTGTTTAAAATCATTGTCATAGTTTTGAAACTATGACATAGTGAAAGAAGAACTTTTATTTAATCTATAAAGTGTTTTCTGATAGTACTATTTCTAATAAGGAAACAACCCAATCAGAACACATACTTAAAATATTAATGTTAATCATTAAACTTACTCACAGCATTTCCTATAAATGCAAATCCATTTTATTAAGTGGATTTACAAAGATCTAATTATCTATCAACTAATAAAAAATTACTACCTTGTAGATTCCATCACTTACCTGTCAATTTGTCATACCATGGTGGCTTGCCTATTGCGCTGATTCTGGAAGCTATGCCACTGGTATTTTAAGCACAGCAGGGTCACCCATACTGGGCAGCTTTCAGCAGAGCTTCCAGAATTAGACAGGGTAGGAAGTAGGAAAGGCAGTCTTCATCTGAATATTTAGCCACTGAAAGTCTTATGAATAGCAATGAAACATCGTCAAATATAGTTCCAGAATATGAAAATATTCCTTATAAGTATTCAACCTGTATGCTGAGAAGATAATCCAGAAAGATGGATGATGTGAAGAAGAATATGGCATCATGATTTTATGAAGCCTAATTTACAATCTGTGATATGCAGATGATACAACCTTGCTTGCTGAAATCAAAAAGGACTTAAAATGTTTATTGATGAAGATCAGTATGGATTGAACCTAAATGTAAAGAAAACAGAAGTCCCCACAATTGAACCAATAAATAACATTATGATAAACGGAGACAAGATTGAAGTTGTCAAAGACTTCATTTTGCCTGAATCCACAATCAACATTCATGGAAGCAGCTGTCAAGAAACCAAATAACATGTTACCTAGGCAAATCTGCTGCATACAACCTCTTTAAGTATTCAATAACAAATATATCTGTTTGGGGACTAAGGTGCACTTGGCCCAAGACATGATTTTTTCCATAGCCTCATACACATGTGAAAGTTGGATAATGAATAAGGATGATTGTAGAAAACTTGATACATTTGAGTTAAGATGTTGGAGAATAATATTGAAGGTACCTTGGACTGCCAGAAGGACACGTGTTGGAACATGTGCAGTCATAATGTTCCTCAGAAGCCAGATGGTGGGACTTTGTATCACATACTTGGGACATGTTGTTAGAGGAACCAATCCTTGGAGAAGGACATCAAGATTGGTACAGTGGAGGGTCAGCGAAAAAGAGGAAGACTCAACAAATGGATTGATATGATGGCAGTAGCATAACAAGAATTGTGAGAATGGGGCAGGACCAGGCAAGGTTTCATTCTGGTTTGCATGGGGATGCTATTAGTCAAAATGACTAGATGGCACCTAACAACAGCATCGTAACCTGCTATACTCATGGTTATATTTTCAGTATTTGTTATTGTAGTTGTTAAGTGTTCGCGAGTTGGTTCTGACTCATAGCAACCCTGTCTAGGGTTTCTGCGTAATGGCAGGTAAGTTTGAACCACTGGTCTTGTGGTCCAATGCATTATCCTGCAGTGCCACACCAGTATAGGTACATATATATGTAGAAATATCCTCTGTCAAACCTTCTTATAATCATGGATATAGTTGCATTGGAGTACTGGTATGGGACTCCTGGTGTGGGGCTGTGGGTTAATGCGCTGAACTGAAAAGCCTGTTTGAACCTCAAAGTCAGCAGTTCAAGCACAGCAGTTGCTCCTTGGAAACACTTTCCAGGGTTGCTATAGTTTGGAACCGACTCAATGACACTTAACAACAGCACAATAGCATCGTTGCATTCTCCTCCCATATCTATTCAACTTCCATGGATTCAGCATTCAGAGATTAGTATTATCTCAGATTGGTATATGTTATTTACCTATGCTGTCTTTAACTTTTGTACTTTTTCAAGTGTTTTCCTTTGCCTTCATCACTTTTTTCTGACTTCCTTCATATTATGTATTGCCTTCCCTTCATCCGAGTTAAAATGCGTCTGTCTTCTAGTTAGTGATTTACTATCCATTCCTGTCCCATCAAATAATATTTCTTTTTGTGTAAAACAATTTCTTGATATTTATATAATGGTCAAATGGTGCTTATATAATATTTGTCCTTTTGTGATTAATTTCATTCAGCATAATGTATCCTGGGTTCATCCATGCTTTGAGGTTTTTCACAGATTCATTTTTAGTCTTTTATGTTGCAGAATATTCCATTGTGCATGTACCATAGTTTGTTTCTCCATTCTTTAGTATTTTGACATTTACGTTGCTTTCATCTCTTGGCTACTTTGATATAGTGATTAAATGAACATGAGTATGCAAATTTGTGCCACAGCTCATATTATCTTAGATACATACCTAGTAGTGGGGCTGATTGAGCATATGGTATGTCCATTTCCAGCTTTCTTGAGGATGTGGCATACTGTTTTCCAAGGTGACAATATGATTTTACATTCCCACCAGTAGTATATGGGGTCCTATGTATGGTAAGATGGAGGGTGAGAGAAAAAAAAGAAGGCCCCCAATGAGATGGATGGGCCAAGTAGCATCATCGATGGACTCAAGCTTGGTAACAATAGTGAGGTTGGCCCAGGATCGGGCAGTGTTTCGTTCTGCTGTGTATAAGGTCACTATGGGTCAGTATCGACTTGATGGCTCCTAACAAAAACAACAAATCTCTCATCACTCATCCTTTCTCTGCATTTTCACCCTAACAATGTTAAATCCCACACAGATTATATGCTATTTAGGCAGTTGGTGATCAGGTTGATGACAGAAATGACATGAGAAACACCTCAACACCTTTTTGAAAACCTTCATTTAAAAAATCATATATATTATTTCATAAAGTATTCAAAAACCAGAGACTGCCTTAATTTGAATAATGATAACATTTTTTTCAGGAACTACCTGTTATGTTTATTGGTTCAAAGGTTTTTTGTCCCAATAGTGCTACAGTGGATGGTCAAATAGAACACTAATTAAGGGAAACCTTTGCTTCCTTTGCAGGGAACCAGAGAGGAAGGAAATACAGACCTCGCTATGGCTGTTCAGGATGCAACGGTAACTAGAACCAGTTATTACAGTGACTGTAAAGAATCTTTGGTAAAATGCTCTGGGGCGCTTGTGATACTACTTACCGACTGTATGATGGTTTCAGGTCCTATGGGAAGCCTGCCAGAGAAACACAGGAGAACACAAAAGCATTCTGCAAATGATCCTGTGCAACAAGAGTTGCCAACAGCTGTGTCTGGGTAACTGTTAATTGGATTTATTTCAAGCTGATTATATAATATTAAAAACCAAGTAGCTAACAAAAAATGAAACAACATCAGAAAAGTTGCACAGTAGTGGGAAAAAAATTATTTCAAAGAAACTTATTTTGAATCATGTTTATACAGATATGTTGTTGTTGTTGTCAAGTGCCGTCTAGTCGGTTCTGACCTATAGCGACCCTGTATAGGGTTTCCGAGAAGCTACTGGTGAATTTGAACTGTTGATATTGCGAATCAAACCAAAGTTGTAGTCCAGCATATTGACCCACAGTGGCACTGCAGGACTCTTATAGAGATATGTTGTTGTTGTTGTTAGGTGCCATCGAGTCAGTACCAACCCATAGCGACCTTATGCACAGCATAATGAAACACTGCCTGATCCTGGGCCAACCTCACTATTGTTGCCATGCTTGAGCCCATTGATGCTGCCACTTGGCCAATCCATCTCGTTGGGGGTCTTCCTCTTTTCCTCTGACCCTCCACCTTACCAAACATGATATCCTTCTCCAGTGACTGATCCCTCATGACAGTATGATCAAAGTGTGAGAGATGACGTCTGACCATCTGGCCTCCAAGGAGCACTCTGGCTGCCCTTCTTCCAACACGGATCTGTTTGTGTTTTTGGTAGTTTATGGCACTTTCAATATTCTCCTCCAACACTATAATTCAAAAGAGGCAATTCTTCTACATTCTTCCTTTTGATGCTTTGTACATCATTCAATAATTTGCCCAGAGAATCCTTTCAATAACCAAAGTCGAGGCTTGGATTTTTTCTTCAGTTCCCTCAGCTTCAGAAATGCTTAGCATGTTTTTCCCTTTGCTTTTCTGACTCCAGATGTTTGCACATTGTGTTGTAATATTTGACTTTGTCTTCTCAAGCTGACCTTTGAAATTTCTGTTCAGCTCTTGTACATCCTCATTTCTTCCATTTGCTTTAGCATCTCTATGCAGGAGAGCAAGCTTAAGCGTCTCTTCTGACATCCATTTTGATTTTTAATTTATTCCTTGTCTTGTTAATGACTTTTTGCTTTCTTTCTGTATGATGTTCTTGATGTCATCCCACAATTCTTCTGGTCTTCAGACTTTCTTGTCTAATGTATCAAATCTGTTCTTCAGATAATCTCTAAATTCAGGTGGGATATATTCAAGGTCATATTTTAGTTCTCATGGATTTGTTTTCATTTTCTTCAGCTTCAGTTTAATTTTCATATGAGCAATTGTTGGTCTGTTACACAATCTGCCCCCGGCCTTGTTTTGGCTGATGATATGGAACTTTTCAATGCTCTCTTTCCACAGATGTAATCAATTTGATTTCTGTGTATTCCTTCTGGTGAGGTCCATATGTATAGTTGTCTCTTATACTGTTTAAAAAAGATATTTGAAATGAAAAAATTACTGGTTTTGCAGAATTCTATCATGTGATCTCCAGTATCATTTCTATCACCAAGGCCATATTTTCCAACTACTAATCCTTCCTCTTTGCTCCCAACCTTTGTATTCCAATCACCAGTAATGATCAGTACATCTTGATTTCATGTTTGATCAATTTCAGATTGAAGAAGTTGGTAGAATTTTTCTATTTTATCTTTATTGGCTTTAGTGGTTGATGCATAAATTTTAATAATAGTGGTATTAACTAGTCTTCCCTGTAGGTCCCTAGACATTATCTTATTACATACAGCTGTTGTACCTTATGACATAAGTTCTTTTTTTACTATGAATGCAACACCATTCCTCTTCAATTTGTCATTCCCGGCATAGTAAGCCATGTGGTTGCCAGATTCAAAATGGCCAATAACAGTCCATTTCAGCTTGCTAATGCCTAAGATACCAATGTTTATACATTCTATTCCAGTTTTGACAATTTCCAATTTTCCTAGATTCATAGTTCGTACCTTCCATGTTCTGATTATTAATGGATGTTTACAGCTGATTCTCCTCATTTTGAGTTTTGCCCCATAAGCAGATAAAGGTCCTGAGGGCTTTACTTCTACAGGCTTTACTCCATTCAGGTCATCAAGGCCAACTCTACTTGGAGGCAGAAGCAATTCCCCAGTCGCATTTTGAGTGCCTTCTAACCTCAGGGGCTCATTTTCTGGCACTGTATCTGATAGTGTTTCTCTGCTATTCATAAGGTTTTCAGTGACTAAATTTTTGGATGTATTTCCTCTCTCCTTCTTCCTAGTCTGTCCTCATCTGGAAGCTCATCTGAAACCTGTCCACCTTGGGTGACCCTGCAGGTGTTTAAAATACTCGGGACATAGCTTCCAGAATCACAGCAACACACACTCCACCACAGTATGACAAACTGACAGATGAGTGGTGGTGTTGTCTTAAACAAATGTCTGATATATAATGCCAGACCATGTGTTTTCCCTCAATTTAAATTAGCAGTGAGGTAGTGGCTCCCAGTGGAAATGTCAATTGTGCTCTAAATATAGCCATTCCTTGGAAGACTTATACAGGTTTGCTATGAGTTTGAACTGACTCAATGCCTATTAACAACTATTAAGAATGTTTGCATTTATTTCTATGACTTCTGAAAGCAATAGTATTTGATAGCAATAGTATTTTCAATTATTTTAGGAAATGGTAACTGTAGCATTTTCAATTATCTTGGGGAATGTTTATTTTTATCATGCTACGATGGGTATTTTAAATTTATAACATATACAAAATCTCTTTTGAATTTCATAAATTTGTTGAAGTTTTTCAGGCATTTCAAGATATTTCTGGGCAAGACATAGTAGACAACATAAATGAATGTTATGATGGATACCTTCAGCAGCTTCTAGTTGCCATTGGTGAGTAAATAAATCACCTGGTGTACAACTGACCTTTTAGTCAATAACAAACCCAGGGGTGGGTTTCTAATAGGTAAGGTAAGCACAATGCTGATGTTATTTACCAGATCATCTGTAGTGAACAATTATACATTTTTCTCTATATCAAAGATATGGTGAAACTGTTTCAAATTATGGTTGTCATCTGTTTCTCCCAAACTTACAGCCCCTTTTTCCAGAATCAAAGCTTCTTTTCAAATGCATAGTCCCTGACTAGCAAGAATTATTCAGTGAGCAAGGTGAGCATAGGATTACTTGTGCTTACTTTCTAATCTGGAAACTTATGTGAAATCATATACTATAGATGAGTAAGTAAACAGAAGTAAACCCAGGCTTACTTTGCTTATTGAGTAATCTGACCCTAAATGACTCAACTGACTCTGATTTCATTAAGTTGCAAACACATGTGTGCATGATGAATCTTTTTTTCCCCTGAGTTTTACTATTTGACTGATATACTGTGTAGAAGGGAAGTATATCAGCTACTGATACAAAATCTAAACTGACAGTGTGATGTGATGACTTTAATAAACTAATATCCCATCCTAATAGTTGGGTTTTCAAATCTACTTTATTTTAACTGACTGACATTTTCTTGTTCAAGAACAGAAAAATACCAGCAATATGATTGGCTTTATTCCAAGAGGAACAGGAATGTTTGTGTATGTGTGTGTGTATATGCTTTTTAAAACCACCCCTCGCTAATAAACTTGCTTTCAAGAGTACATCCTACCATAAAAGGGATTTACCAAGTTTTTACCTATTAGTGATTTCTACAGGTTATCCTGAGAGAGGCATATTTTCCTCCTTTTCTAAGACACGGCAGACTCTATTTACAAATACTTTGGAGTTATTCATAAATCTGTGATGGGAGCTGAAAGATAACAAGATCTTTATATATTAAATAGGGTATTAAATGAGAGATTGCTGAAGATGCTTCCAAGCATTTTGTAACATCCTTGAGATAATATGTAAAATATGAATATTTCTGTGTGTGTGGTTTTCTGAGAAGAATGTACAGACATTCCAGCAAATTATCAATGAAATTTGAGAATCATGAATTAAAGGCCCTCATTTTATAAAAGAAAAGCTAGGGGCTAAATGACTGCATCATAGGATGTCAGCTAACAGACAACAAATTTACATAATCTCCATAAACCATAGCCAAAAACAAGCAACAGTCATCAGAGAAGAAATACTGGACAACATGAGTACTAGAAAATGTTGCAACTGATTCATTAATTCAGTAAATACACATTTAGTGAGCACATACTGTTCTGGTCACTGATTTACTCACTGCAAATGGAACAGTGAAAGTACAACAACCAATTTTCTGTCCTTAATGAGTTCTAGCAGGGACTGAAGAGTAATTTTTTATAACTAAAAACCTTGGAGGCATGTTTCACAACCTAAAATAATTACGTCAACTATAGAGAAAACATCATTATGATGATTTGATTTTGCCTAAAAACTGCTAATTTAGAATGCATAATTCATTCATTCATTCATTCAAATGTATACTATTCAATGACTATAATCAATTATGAGTCCTAGTGTGGTACTGTAGGAAAAAGCACTGGATTGCAAGGTCAGTTTGAACCACAAGTTGGCAGTTCAAACTCACCAGCCTCTCCTAGGAAACCCTATGCATGGCTGCTATGAGTCAGAACTGACTTGACAGCATTTAACAACAACAATAGTCAATTAATAGTATTCATCAAAGGCAACAACAGAACAACACTAGGATACGCTAATGAGATAGCAATTTTGATCTGATGAGTTCTAAAATTAGTCTAAAGTGTTTGTTTGTTGTTGTTGTTAAGTGCTGTTGAGATAATTCCAACCCATAGCAATGCTGTATATGGTTTCCAAGGAGAAGGTGGTGAGCTTGAACCACTGACCTTGTAGTTCAAATGGCTTTGCAGTCTGGCGCATTAACCAACAGCGCCACACCAGGATTCCAAAGCGGTTGTAGTCAACACAAATTCTTACCAAATGTTCTCAACCTCCTAAGTCTTCAAGGGTAGACAAACAAATTGGTTTAGGCTAGGCCATATTGGCACTGCTTGTCTGTCACTTTTTATCATCCTGTGATGGCTTACATGTTTCTGTGAGGCTGTGATGCTCTGCTACCTAGATTTTACATACTAGAAGGTTCACCCACGATGGAGAATTTTCATCTAAGCTTCCAGACTCAGACAGACTAAATAAAAATAAAGAGACAGACTTCATCTGAATGTTTAGCCACAGAAAACCTTATGAACAGCAGTGAATCATTGTCAGATATGGTGCCTGAAGAGGAAAATGTTATGAAAAGTACAATGGTGTCAGAAGATGAGCAGTTTCCTCAAAATGGAGTTGACCTTGATGATGTGATTAGAGTAAGGCTTTTGAAACCTTCATTAGCAAGGGGGGCAAAACTCAAAATAAGAGAAAACAGCGGCAAACATCCATTACTAATTGGAATATGGAAAGTGCTAAGTGTGAATCTAGGAAAACTGGAAGCTGTCAAAATGAAATGGAATACATAAACATCAATGTCCTATGTATTGTTGTTGTTTCTAAGTGCTGTCGAGTCTGTTCCAACCCATAGTGACCCTGTATAGTGTTTCTGAAGAGGGGCAGATGGGCTTGAACCACTGACCTTGCAGTTCAAACCAACTTTGAAATCAAGTGCATTAACCCAAAGTGCCACACCAAGACTCCATTCTAGGTGTTAGAGCTAAAATGAGCTGTTATTAGCCATTTTGAACCTAACAATCATATGGTTGACTAGATCTGGGATGACACATTGAAAAGGAATGGTGTAGCATTCATTGTCAAAAAGAAAACTTCAAGATCCATCTTGAAGTACAATGTTATCTATGATAAGATAAAATCCAAATGCCTATAAGAAAATCGAATTATTACCTTTATCACTCAAATTTACGCACCACCCATTAAAACCTGTGATGGATGATGAAATTGAAGAATGCTACCATCTTTTTCAATCTGAAATTGAACAAACATGTAATCATGTAATCAAGGTGTATTGAAAATTACTAGTGATTACTGGAATGTGAAGGTTAGGAACAAAGAAGAAGAATCAGTAGTTGGTAGTTGTTGGTAATAAAAATGATTTTGGAGTTCATATGATAGAATTTTGCAAGACTAATGAGTCATTCACTGAAAATACCTTTTTTAAAAAATATAAAAGATGACTATACACATGGACTTCACCAGAAGAAATTCACAGAAATCAAATGGACTACCTGTGTGGGAAAAGATGATAGAAAAGCTTAACATCACCAACCAACTCAAGGCCAGGGGCAGACTGGAATAGACCATCAATTGTTCATATGCAAGTTCAGGCTGAAACTGAAAAAAATTAAAACAAGTACATGAAAGCTAATATATGACCTTGAATATATCCAACGTGAAATTAGAGACAATTGCAAAAACAACATTAGACACTAATGACCAAAGGTAGGAGAGTTGTGGGATGACATCAAGAACATCATAGAAGAAAAAAGAAAGGTCATTAAAAAGACAGGAAAGAAAGTAAAAATCAAAATGGATGTCAAAAGAGACTCTGGAATTTGCTCTCCAGCATAGAGATGCTAAAGCAAATGGAAGAAATGAAGAAGTACAAGTGATAAACATAAAACTTCAAAGGGTGGCTCAAGAAGAAAAAGTCAATTATTATAATCAAAGGTACAAAGACCTGGAGTTAGAAAAACAAAAGAGAAGACCACACTCAGCATTACAAAAGCTGAAAGAACTGAAAAAAAATGTAAACCTCAACTTGCAATATTGAAGGATTCTATGGGCAAAATATTGAATGATGCCAAAAACATCAAAATAAGTTGGAAGGTAGACACAAGAGGCATTGAATCTAAAATAAATGTCCAATGTTTAACCATTGCAAGAAGTCACATATGACCAAGAACTGATGGCATTGTAGGAAGGAGTCTAAACTGTGAAAACAAGTCTCCAGGAATTTATGGAATGCAAATTGATATCTTTCATCAAATTGATGCAACACTGGAGGCACTCACTTTTTTATGCCAGGAAATCTGGAAAACACTTACCAGGCCAATGTATTGGAAGAGATTCATATGTCTGCCCATTCCAAAGAGAGTAATCCAACAGAATGTGAAAATCATCAAACAATGTGAATAGCACAAACAAGGCAAATTTTGCTGATTAATTAAAAAATGGCTACAACTGTACAGCCACAAAGAACTGCCAGAAATTTAAGTCAGATTCAGGAGAGGCCATGGAATGAGGGATATCACTGATGACGTCAAATTAATATTGACTGAAAGCATAGAACACACACACAAAAAAAATGTTTACTTGTGCTTTATTAACTATGCAAAGGCTTTTTGATTGTGTGGATCATGACAAACTATGGATAATATTGCCAGGAGTAGGTATTCCAGATAATTTATCGGTGCTCATGAAGAACATAGACCAAAAAGCAGTCTTTCAAACAGATCAAGAGTACAATGAATGGTTTAAACTCAAGAAAAGTGTCTGATAGGGTTGGATCCTTTCACCATACTTATTAAATCTGTATGCTGAGCAAACAGTCTAAGAAATGGGATTATATAAAGAAGAATGTGGCACCAGGATTGGAGGAAGACTCATTAGCAACCTGCAATATGCAGAGGATACAACATTACTTGCTTAAAGAGAAGAAAACTTAAAATACTTAGTGATGAAGATCAGAGACCACAGACTTCAGTATATATTGCACCTAAATGCAGAGAAAACATTCTCACAACTGAAGCAATAATCAATTATGATAAATGGAGACAAGAGTAAAGTTGTCAAAGACTTCATTTTGCTTCGATCCACAAAGAAATCCAACAATGTTTTACACTAGGCAAATCTGCTGCATAAGACTTTTTTAAAGTGTTCACCAGCAAAGAAAACAGTTTGAGAACTAAGGCACACCTGACCCAAGCAATGAGATTTTCAATAGTCTCATGTGCATTTAAAACTTGGACAATGAATAGCAGAATTGATGGATTTGAGTTGTGGTGTCGAAGAAGAAGATTGAAGGTACCATGACCTGCCACAAGAACAAACAGGAATAAGTATAGTAGAAGGAGCTCTGGTAGCGCAGTGGTTCTGACTCGGGCTGTGAACTGCAAGGTCAGCAGTTCAAAACTACCAGCTGTTCCATGGGAGAAAGATGAGGCTTTCTGCTCCTGTAAAGATTTCCAGCCTTGGAAACCCTGTACAGGGTCACTATGAGTCGGTTCTGACTCCATGGCACACAGCCACCACCACCATAGTTGGAGTACTTAATCTTTAAAAGCAAGGATTGTGAGTATTTCTCTCTCATAATTTGGACAAGTTCTCAGGAGGGACCAGTCCTTGAAGAAGCACATTATGCTTGGTAAAGTGAAAGGTCTGCAAAAAAGAGGAAGATCCCCAAAAGTTGGATCTCCACAGTAGCAGCAGCAGTTGGCTCAGCATAACAACAGTTGAGAACATGGCACAGGACCAGTCAGAGTTTTGTTCTTTTGTGCCACACAGCATCAAAACTGACCATTGATGGTACCTAAAAACAACAACATCATGCTACCTTGAATCCTAAAAAGATAAAAATCTGTTATGCTGTTATTATGTGCTGTGGAGTCAGTTCCAACTCATAACAACTCTGCATAGGGTTTCCGAGGCTGTAAATCTTTACGGGAGCAGAAAGCCTCATCTTTCTCCCACGGAACTGCTGGTAGTTTTGAACTGCTGACTGTGAGATTTGCATCCCAATTCATAACCACTATGCTACCAGAGCTCCTTAAAAATCCATTACAGTTGCTATATAATGGGTTTCTTCCTAGCTCCATTGGTTTAACTTTCATATGGACTGGATACATTCTTCTTCACTAGGATATATAAAGAAACATTTTGATTTTCCATTTTTTAAATGAAATTTTGATTAAATTTTTATAATATTGTTTCTTTATACTTATCTGAGTGTCACGATTTTACTAGTTTTCTAAGGGTAGAAATGATAATATAGTGTACAATGAAAGGCACCACATCCCTTGAACATTCACGAAATCACTATTCAGAATGTTGTTGTTATTGTCACGTGCTATTGAGTTGGTATACTGACCAACATGTAGCAAAACCAACTCGATAGCTCCTAAAAACAGCAGCAATATAGATTTTCTGAGGCTGTAAATCATTTGCGGGAACAGAAGCCTCTGCTTTCTCCCGAGAAGTGGTGGTAGGTTTAACTATTGATCCTGGGATTAACTGTCCACAGGATCGCTATGGGTCAGAACCGACACAATGGCACTTAATAACAACAACTTATCCTACAGTGTCACCAGGATTCCTCATTCAGAATAGCAACAACAAAAAAAGTTATGTTTCTCAAATTCTGAAGAAAATATGTATTTTATCCCCAAAGTCTTTTTTCTCCGTTTTCTCCTAGTTCTCTGCATTCAAGACAAACCAGCCTACTTCGCTTACAGATTATATAGTGCAATCCATGTAAGTACAACCCATTCTTGTTTTAATTTCTACAGAAATTGTGCCCATTTTTCCAAAATAATACTTCAACTATTAAAATGCTGACTGAAATGCTTGGTCTGATATATAAATATGCACAAATCCAATTGAAAAATTTGTTATACAACAAAAATGAAACCCACCAACCAAAAATAATCCTCTGCTTCCTGTATCAAATTGAGGTATTGAGGCAGTCTGATTCCTTTGGGTTCTATATCCCTCATGTGCTTTAGAATCTATTTAGAATCTTCAGAAAATGGTAAATCCAAATGCTTTTGTAACTTTCAATAGATTCCCACATCATATTTATATAAGCACAAAGCATATGGTATCAAATAGAAAATGTCAAAATATTACAAACTATCTACAAGGAATACTACACTCTTGATGTTTTAAAACTTAAAATATTATCAGTGGTTATTTTAAAACAAAGTTTTATTTTCCAAAAGTACTTAAAAGATAACTTGACAACAATACATTATAAAATTATATTTGTAATTAAACAGAATGTTTTTCATAATTTATGATTTTATTTATTTATTTTTTTAGTCACACATATTTTGGGACATTTGCTTAAAAAAAAAAAAACAACCACATACATACATTAGAAAATGCACAACTTTTCCATAATTTGGTTGAAGCATATTTGAAAAAAGAAATAATCTGATACTAATTATCATGTCATAGCCTTGAAAATTCAGACAATTATTTTAAAAATACATTATTAGCACAGCAATTTTAACAATCAGAGTATTTTATCCCCAAAATAATTTTTACAGAACAATTTTTAAAGTAGTCAGTATGTGTAGAAACTTATAAAACATGATAAATGTCATAATTACATATCTTATTTCTTTATTATGTCTTAAAGCTTTAAAAATCTTTGCACAAGAAGAGCCTATGTAAATCCCATAACACAAAAACAAAATCAAACCACATAACTCCTTTGCTATTTTTATAGCTGGTTTCTAAGAAGAGTTTACTTGATTTTTAAAATATTATTTAGAATAGTGTATTGGGGCACGTGATGGGTTACTTTCACCAGTTTCCTTCTTCAAACAACTAACCACTGGAACAATCTAATAAAGCTTCCCTCACAAATGGGAACATAATCACAATTAGCCTGGTTTCAAATATGCCTAAATATGTGGCTACTGACTCTAAAAGTAAATGTAAACTGTACCCTGCTCATGTATGTGCTACAAGAAAAAAGAGTAGGAAGAAAAGGAGCAGGATTCAAGTGTTCAAATTATATTATATACTGTTGTTGTTCCTAAGTGCCACTGAGTCATTCCAATTCAAAGAGATCCTGTATAAGGTTTCCAAGGAGCAGCTCCTGGATTTGAACTACCGATCTTGTAGTTGGCAGTTCTGTACTGATCGACAATACCACACCAGGATCTTGTACCTAAAATATTGTAATAAATTTTTTTCCCATTACTCGAAAACCTTATGAGACCTCTGAGATTTTAGGACATTGTGAACAATTATCTATAACCTAAAAATATAAACTTGACTAGATCATTCATTTTACACATCTCAAATTATGAAAACTATTATGTCCACAGCCAAAATATTGACACTAGAAAGTACATTATGCTTGCTGACCACTAGATGTCAGGATTACACCACTTGAAAAGACTCTATGGGGCTGATTTCTAAATAAGCATTTATGTACTATCTATTGGTGAAGCTATGTGGGTTGATGAGCCAAATGGCAAAGTCCTGTGAACTGCAAGGACGGTAGTTCAAGCTCACCAGCTGTTCCTCGAAAACCTTTTAAAGGGTGGTCTCGAATAAGGAGCTCTGGTAGCTTAGTGGTTACGAATTGGGCTGCGAACCTTAAGGTCAGCAGTTAGAAACTACCAGCCTTTCTGCTCCGGTAAAGATTTACAGCCTGGGAAACCCTGTACAGGGTTGCTATGGGTCGGAACTGACCCAATGGCATTAAGAACAACAATGGGTCGAATAGACTTGACGGCACTTAACAACAAAAACAACAACTGGTGCGGCATCATACAGCAAGAAAGCAAAAAGTCAGTAAGAAAACAAAGAAGGAAAAGGTCAAAATGGATGTCAAAAGAGATGCTGAAACTTGCTCTCCAGCGTAGAGATGCTAAAGCAAATGGAGGATATGAGGCGGTACAAGAGCTCAACAGAAAATTTCAAAGGTCAGCTGGAGAAGAAAAAGTCAAATATTACAACAAAATGTGCAAAGATCTGGAGTCAGAAAACCAAAAGGGAAAAACAAGCTCAGCATTTCTCAAGCTGGGGGAACTGAAAAAATTCAAGCCTAGACTTTCGTTATTGACGGATTATTTGGGCAAATTATTTAATGATGCAGAAAGCATCAAAAGAAGATGGGATGAATACACAGAGTCACTGTACCAAAAGGAAATGGTTGATGTTCAACCATTTCAAGAGGAAGCATATGATAAAGAGCCAATGATACTGAAGGAGGAAGTCCAAAGTTCATTGAAGGAATTGACAAAGAACAAGGCACCAGGAATTGATGGAATAAAAATTGAAATCTTTCAAGAAAGTGAGCCAGCACAGGAGGTACTCACTCATCTTTGCCAAGAAATTTGGAAGACAACTATCTGGCCGACTAATTGGAAGAGATCCATATTTGTGCCCATTCCAAAGAGAGGTGAGCCAATGGAATGGGGAAATCATCAGACAATATATTTGATATCCCATGCTAGTAAAATTTTACTAAAGATAATACAGAAACAGCTGCAAGCATACATTGACAGAGAACTTCCAGAGGTACAAGTTGGATTCAGGAGAGTACGTAGAATGAGGAATATCATTGCTGTTGTCTGATGGATCTTGGCTGAAAGCAGAGAATACCAGAAAGATGTTTACCTGTGCTTTAGACTATGCAAAGGCTATCAATTATGTGGATCATGACAAGCTATGGACAACATTGCAAAGTATGAGTATTCCAGAACACTTAATTGTGCTCATGAAGAATCTGTATATGGACCAAGAAGCAGTTTTTCAAACATCACATGGGAATATGGAATGGTTTAAAATTAAGAAAGATATACCACAGGGTTGTATTCATTCACCATGCTTATTCAAACTGTATGCTGAGCAAATAATCAGAGAAGCTAGGTTATATGAAGAAAAACGTGCCATTAGGATTGGAGGAATGCTTATTAACAACCTGCGATATGCAGATGATACAACTTTGCTTGCTGAAACTGAATAGGACTTAAAATATTTACTGATGAAGATCAAAGAGCACAGCCTTCAGTGTGGATTGCATCTCAATGTAAGGAAAACAAAAATCCTCATCACTAGACCAATAAACAACATTCTTATCAATGGAAAAAATATTGAAGTTGTCAAGGGCTTCATTCTTCTTGGATCAACTATCAACATTCACGGAAGCAGCAGTCAAGAAATCAGACGATGTAGGCGTATTGCATTAGTCAAATCTGCTGCACAAAACCTTTTTAAAGTGTTGAAGAGCAAAGATATCAGTTTGAGGACTAAGGTGCGCTTGACCCAAGCCATGGTATTTTCAATAACCTCATAGGCATGTGAAAGCTGGACAGTGAATAAGGAAGACCGTAGAAGAATTGACGCATTTGAGTTATGGTGTTGGAGGAGAATATTGAAAGTGTCATGGGCTGCCAAAAAAAACCAACAGATCTGTTTTTGAAGAAGTAACAGCCAGAGTGCTCCATGGAGGCCAGGATGGCCAAACTTCGTCTCTCATACTTTGGACATATTGTGAGGTGGGACCAGTCACTGGAGAAGGATATCATGTTTGATAAGGTGGAGGGTCTGAGAAAAAGAGGAAGACCCCAAGCAAGATGGACTGGCAAAGTGGGTTCAAGTGTGGCAACAATTGTGAGATTAGCCCAGAACCAGGCAGTGTTTTGTTCTGTTGTGCATAGGGTAGCTATGAGTTGGTACCGACTCGATAGCACCTAACAACAACAACAACTGGTGCGAGTCCTTGTTTAGTGCTCTGGACTAATGTGTCAGACTGCAGAGTTGTTTAAAAGTCAAGGTTGGAGGTTCAATCTCACCTACTCCTTGGAAACCCTATTCAGGATCACTGTGGGTCGGAGCCAACTTGACAGCACTTAACAACAACAGTGGAGAAGGGCATCAAGCTTGATAAAGTGAAGGATTAGTGAAAAAGAAGATTCCCCAAGGAGATAGATCAGCACAGTGACAGCAACAATGGGTTCAAACATAAGAATGATTGTGAGGATGGTGCAAGACTGGTCAGTGTTTGTTCTGTTGTACACAGAGTTGCTATGAGTCAAAAATGACACAACCGCCTACTACAACAGCTACTGTCTACCTACTACCATGGAGTCCATTTCAGCTTATAGTGGCCCTGTATAGGATTTTGAGACTCTGAATCTCTCTACTGGATCAGAAAGCCTTATCTTTCTCCTGCTGAGTGACTGATAGGTTGGAACTGTCAACCTTGTGGTTAGCAGTTTGATGCTTATCTTAAAGTGCCACCAAGACTCCAGTAATCAACTTACTCACTACTATTTCTGAGTCAAATATACAGAAATGTATTTATGTGGGTTTTTTTTTTTTTTTTTTCATTTTTTTTTTTTTTTTTTTTTTTTTTAATATTTGAGTTTAAATCAGCAAATATTTCAACTATCTAGAATAGAATCTGTGGAGTCCTGGTGTGGCACTGTGGATTAATGCGACAGAGTGCAAAGGCGTTTGAACTGCAAAGTCGGCGGTTCAAGCTCACCAGCTGCTCCTCAGAACCCCTATACAGGGTTGCTATGGTTTGAACCAACTCGACAGTACTTCACAACAACAACAGAATCTGTAATTTTTCAATAATTAATGGAATGCAATTTCTGTCTTACTGTGCTATATTCGTCTAGCAAAATATTTCAAATTTTTTTTGTACCTGGGAATATATTTCTACATAGGAGAATCACATGACCAGATTTGTATTTTATAATTCAGTGTAAGGAAGCAGTGTGAAAGTTAACAAGGCTGGAAAAGGGAAAAGGGAGAGACTGCTAGAATCTGAATGTGAAATGATTAAGACCAGAGTGAGAGCTGTAACATTAAAAACAGAGATTACAGGAAATTTTAAGAAGCAAAATATAGAAAAATATTGTGGTATGATGCTATATTCACAGTAAGAGACATGACTCTTTGGACAGGGATCCTAGCATATGAGGAATAAAGAAAAAGGAGAAAATTTTTACAGGAAAGGAGATGAGTCTATTTTAGACCCAAAACAATCAGTTGTGGTCAAGTCAACAGTGTATTTCAGAGTTCTACTTGGTGCCCCTGGATTTTCAGTGGCTGATTTTTTTTTCAGGTGTATATTGCCAGGCATTTTTTTCCAAGGTGCCTCTGTGTTAGGTGCCATCAAGTCGGTACCGACCCATAGTGACCCTATGCCCAGCTGTACGAAACACTGCCCGATCCTACTGTTGCCACACTTGAGTCCATCAATGCTGCCACTTGGCCAAACCATCTCACTGGGGGTCTTCCTCTTTTTCTCTGACCCTCCTCCTTACCAAACATGATATCCTTTTCCAGTGACTGCTCCCTCCTGACAATATATCCAAAGTATGAGAGATGAAGTTTGGCCATCTTGGCTTCCAAGGAGCACTCTGGATGCACTTCTTCCAAAACGGATCTATTGGTCCTTTTGGCAGTCCATGGCACTTTTAGTATTCTCCTCCAACACCATAACTCAAAAGCATCAATTTTTTCTATGGCCTTCCTTATTCACTGTCCACTTTTCACATCCATATGAGGTTATTGAAAATACCATGGCTTGAGTCAGGCATACCTTAGTTTTCAAGCTGACATCTTTGCTCTTCAACACTTTAGAAAGGTCTTCTGTATCAGATTTACCTAATGCAATGTTTTGTTTGATTTCTTGACTGCTTCTTCTATGAGTGTTGATAGTTGATCC